TATTATGAGCCATAAGAAGAGAGACATCTGCTTTTCGTATGGTCACCAGTCTCCACTTCAGAAATTTTATTATGTCTAAAATGTTAATTGGCACAAATTGTGGAATGCATATGTAATGTAACATAAAGAACCATTTTATTTTCCTAACTTAGAAGGTTGCAGGTTTGGGTGTGCGGGCAGAGAGCAGAGGGAAAACAAAATAAGTGGTGGTGTCTGTGTGTTTCTACCCCAAAAATACTTGCCTTAAGCACTAAAAAATGTGCTGCATTATTGCAGTCTCTCACAAGCCAGTACTTCTACCACTTTCAAAATAAAGAGCGTTATTTTTTACTTGCTGTCCAGAGGGAACATAGCTTCTTTGATATTCCCTGCTGGCTATTTGAGGAGGCTTCCTGCAGTGTGTGTACAGTATTACTCTCTCTGGCTGCCCTTGTTACTGCAAATGTCTTGTCTTGAAGCTTTATTTTCTGTCCTTCACTTTGAGTCCTAGTAAATCCTCTTTAATTCATAAGAGCCCCTGGCTCTCAAAAGGAAATGTCTTGTTTTTTTTTTCTACGTCTGGGACAACAGTAAGATTTTTTTTTTTTTTAAAGTTTAACATTTTAATGCAAATATGGGAATGACAAATATCTTGAAAGAGTCGTGATGGATTATATTCACATCTATATATGCCAACCGAATGTTTTCGATTTTGATGTGTGCGTCCTGCAATTTACTGAAGCTTGTATTTTTCCACGCCTTTAATAATTGCACTCATGTTTATTCTGCTTTGTTTCTGTGCCTCTTATACATAGATTAAACAGATCTGTGAGTCTTCTCAATGCTTGCAAACTGAATAGATCGACACCAAGGTGAGGGGAACTTAGATTCACTTTGTCACCCTAGCTGTTCCTTCCATTGTTTCCATCTCTGTTTTAACACACTAGCTTAAAGGTCTCGTCCAGTGCCTGCCATTCATCAAGTTGTCAGTCATGTAACTATATTCATCATTGACATTTATTGTTTTTTTTTTTTAGATTCTCAACCAGTCCTCCAAAACTAGAGTACTTTGGCTGTGCGTAAATTGCAAGTGGTCTTAATTAGGGGCCTAACAGAGGACACAGCATTGAAGGCATCAGCCCTACCACATGCTGTAACCCCAGACAAGTTGCTCCACACTCTAGAATATGGTTCTTCCTCTGTAAAATGAGGATAATGGTATTGTTGCAGGGGATTTGTGAGGTTTGAGTTAAATCATATAGTAGATGTACAAGTGCAGAGTACTCCTTAAACATTAACTGTTGCTGCTGCTGCAGTTTTCATCACCAGCACCCCCATGAACTCTTCCGGCCACCAGGTTGAGTGTTCATTATTAGAAAATCAGTTAGTGTTTGCTATAATTGATGAACAGTGGTGGTTTTCCAGCTCTTTCAGGGTGTTTTACCCAGTTCTTTAAGTTGCTGTGAACTTGCCATGAACTCCCACAAGGACGCCACAGAGGCCGTGCTCTGGGCTCTTCTTGTGGCTGCAAAATCTCCCAGGGCCGCAGCAGCTGGTCAGGCAAAGTGTGCTTCAGAGCCTTGTGCTAAAGACTGGGCGGAGAATAATCCTGCTAAGTCAAATTAGCTTGGTGTTAGTCGTCATAGGAACGTCTTGAACTTTAAGCACAAAGGCTCCTGTAATTTTTAGACTTTAATCTCAAATTTCAGAAATGTCATGCTCTCTTAAAATCTGTAATTTCCTTGTCCCCGGATTGTACATTCTAAAAATGCACATTTTGACCTTAAGGCACACCCTGCTGATTACAGTTGTAAGATTCTGGCACCGTCCACTCAAAGGTTCGTCAGTTACCAAAAAGACTATGTGGAAAGTGTATCCAGATAATCACCCTGAGAGTGAGGTGATTTTTCAAAGCCAACATACCATGAGGGTTTTTTAAAAACATGCTCGGAGATTACTGAGCAACTGGACATTGCAAAGGAGGGAGGACTGAAAGTCTAGCTAACGAGGGTACGGACAGAGGAGACAGAGGGGAAGGGATGTAGACGGAAAGAGTCACTGGCTACCAAGGAGAGTGGCCAGGGCCAGGCAGGAGCCACCGATATGGGAGGCTTGTTTACTTAGGAGGAGGAAGGACGTTGAGCTTTGGTGCAGGAGCAGTGGTCTGGCTGTGTTAAGTTCCTCAGTTCCTGTGGGCTCCTTGTTGAGATTGGGTTCCTGTGCACCCTTCACTGAAGCTATGCCCACTGAAGCTACTTGAGACTCCCCACTTACCGGTCCCCACCCTCTCCTCTGTGTAGCACCAGGACACTTACCTAGTTCCGCGCTAGTCTCTGCAGCATCCCGCCTTCTCTCCTGGTGTCACTGCTACCTCTGACTCCTGCAGTAGCTTCTCAGCCCACATCTTTAAACATTAGTTTCCCTGGGGGTTCTTCTCTTCTTGGTCAACGCCTCCCTCAGTGATTTCCTCTGTGTCCATGGCTCAGCACCCGCCAGAGGGACAGGGCCTGTCCCGAGCTGTCTCGAGTATTTCAGGCTTGTATTCTCACCCACCCACACCTCCAGCTCCCAAATGTCTAGACCAGAACCACCCAAGTCTGGGCTTGTTCCCAGAGCCTGGGCCCTAGAACAGCCCCCCACCCACCCCTCCCCTCCTTCATTTTGCTTACAGAGCAGGTGCTGCATTTAAAGCAATTTGTGTCTCTTCTGGTGACAGGGTCAATGTGTGATACTTCCATTTATTTCATCCTTTCATTTAGTAAATGTGTACCAAACTTTCATATGAGGCTCTGCAAAGCATACGAAAATGATAAATGAGAGAAGATCTTAAGAAAGGCATGGACTAATGATGAAGATTTCTAAATATGTACAGAGAAACCTGTACTACAGTCATGTACTCTGTCTTTGTGAGTTTGGGCTGCTGTAACAAAGTCCATAGACTGGGAAGCTTATAAAAAACAGAATGATATGCCTCACCATTCTGGAGGCTGGAAGTCCAAGATCGGGGTGGCCAGCATAGTGAGGTTCTGAAGAGGGCTGCCTTCCAGGTTGCAGGTGCTGTCTTCTCACATGGTGGAAAAGGCTAAGAGAGGTCTCTGGGCCTCTTCCATCAGGGCAATAATTCCATTCACTGGGGCTTCACCTGCTGACCTTGTAACCTCCCAAAGGCCCTACCTCCTAACACCATCACATTGAGCGTTAAGAGTTTCCACACATGAATTTGGGGGACACGAGCAGTCCATAGCATTCTCTGAGAGGGGAGCAATCAGCCTTCACCCCATGCGTGGGCTCTGGTTTACCCCTGATGCCTGCGAATTCCCTGTCAGTAGGGGATCCCTTCTCCTAGAGCAGGCTCTTTCCATCTGTGTCATAACAACACATTCAAGCTGTTCATTTGATCTTTCCCAGAAATTTGCAGTCTTTGGGAAGCCTTCCCCAGGCCGCCTTCCCCAGGCCGCCTTCCCCCGGCCGCCTTCCCCCGGCCGCCTTCCCCGGCCGCCTTCCCCAGGCCGCCTTCCCCGGCCGCCTTCCCCGGCCGCCTTCCCCAGGCCGCCTTCCCCGGCCGCCTTCCCCAGGCCGCCTTCCCCCAGGCCGCCTTCCCCGGCCGCCTTCCCCAGGCCGCCTTCCCCGGCCGCCTTCCCCAGGCCGCCTTCCCCAGGCCGCCTTCCCCGGCCGCCTTCCCCAGGCCGCCTTCCCCGGCCGCCTTCCCCAGGCCGCCTTCCCCGGCCGCCTTCCCCAGGCCGCCTTCCCCGGCCGCCTTCCCCAGGCCGCCTTCCCCAGGCCGCCTTCCCCGCCCGCCTTCCCCGGCCGCCTTCCCCAGGCCGCCTTCCCCAGGCCGCCTTCCCCAGGCCGCCTTCCCAGGCCGCCTTCCCCGACCGCCTTCCCAGGCCGCCTTCCCCAGGCCGCCTTCCCCAGGCCGCCTTCCCCAGGCCGCCTTCCCCAGGCCGCCTTCCCCGGCCGCCTTCCCCAGGCCCCTTCCCCAGGCCCCTTCCCCAGGCCGCCTTCCCCGACCGCCTTCCCAGGCCGCCTTCCCCAGGCCGCCTTCCCCAGGCCCCTTCCCCAGGCCGCCTTCCCCAGGCCGCCTTCCCAGGCCTCGGAGCACTCTAGTCCCTCTGATCCTACAGAAGGAAGTTGGACACTTACATGGACACCACCTCTAAATGAAGGCATTGTGTATAGGGTGGAACATTTCTATCGTTACCTGTGGCATCCTGTTAGCATTTGTCCCATGAGTGCCTTTAGGCCTGAGTTCTTCAATATCAGCACTATTGATATCTGGGGCCCAGTGATACTTTGTGGATGGGGCTATCCCAGGCTGTGTAGGATTTTTAGCAGCACCCCTGGCACCCACCCACTATGTGCCACCAGCAGTCCTCCCCCAGCTGTGCAACAGAAGGATATCTCACCAGACATTGCCAGATGTCTCCTGGGGGCCACCATCCCCTCCCTGATTGCACACCACCATCTAGACCAAGCTTGTCCAACCCGCTGGCCTATGGGCCGTGTGTGGCTCAGGACAGCTTTGAATGCCGCCCAGCACAAATTTGTAAATTTCTTAGTACGCTATTTTTTTGCAATTTTTTGTTTAATTTATTAGCTGTCATTAGCATTAGTGTATTTTATGTGTTAGCATTAGTGTATTTTATGTGTGGTCCAAGACAATTCTTCCAATGTGGCCCTGGGAAACCAAAAGACTAGACACCCCTGGAGGATGAAACTTGCTCAAGGGCAGGATTGCCTCCCTCCAAGCCCCTGGAATGGCTTCACACGGTCCTGCTGAAGTCTTCATGCCCCGGTTTCCTCCATGACTGTGAACTGTGCTAGTGGCCTGAGTTACAAAGGCAGAGAGCAGAGGTGTTACTCCACGTGACACTCTGAAAAGCTTTTTGATCTCTGTAGCTAGGTCTGTCTTTGGAATATCCATGTGGAAGTATGATGTTCTGTGTACATATTTGTATAATTAGCAATAAAATAAAATCACAGTATTAAGAAGTTCACTGTCACTTCCATTCCACTCTTAGTAACATCAAGAGGACCAGCTCTTCTGAACGAGTATCTCCTGGGGGTCGAAGGGAAAGCAATGGGGATTCCAAAGGAAATCGGAATCGCACAGGCTCTACCAGCAGTTCCTCCAGTGGCAAAAAGAACAGTGAAAGGTAAGGATGTCTTATCTCTCAGTTCCTGCTTTTCAGATGTTTTTGCACCTCTTGTCCCCAAAGAGGAGTCAGAAGATCCCCTCATTTTCCAACAAGCTAGGAGCACTCTTGGAGAGGAAGGCCTTCTCCTGAGAGATTTGTAGGCACTGATCAAACAGCCATTTGAGGGCAGCTGCTAGGCACAGTTCACATAAACCATTGTCCAGGTAGAAAAACTGTCACTCAAGATTACCAGCACTCAGGACATAAGTAGTTCCTGAGAATTTCTTAGCACCAAGTACCTGGAACTGGGGAAGTCATTCTGAATTTCTGCATGAGCACCTTTTATTTCTAGTACACTCTCCTGACCTTTAAAAGTTAATTTTAATGGACTGCTTATTTTCTGAGACAGAGTGGCTGTAAAGTTATAATTTTATGATTTATCAGAGGCTATATTTAATATGGATGCTAACACCAGAAATGTGAACCATTTTTCTTTATGGTTTTGTGAAATATAAGTACTCCAAATTTGAGGTTGGTTTATAATGGATTATGGTATGTATCAGTGAAATTAATAGTAACATTTTATTCCTGAATGCTACTTTTTGGTATTTTAGCAGCTTGTTTTGTTTGTATAATATATTTATATCATATAATGTAGTCCGTAAAGAAGATCCAGTTTCTCTACGTATTTCTACCTAATATTGTACTTTGTTCTAACTTGTTAGTTTTTTTTTCTCCCTGTTTAGTAAAGCTTAGGAAGGAATTTCAGCTTCAGAGGCTGAGCATGTGTTTTCCCCCGACTGTTCATGTAAGGAGAAGGCTTAGTCATAAAGCAATCAACTCCAACCCACGGGCTGTAAAAATTCCAAGTTTGTAAATCCATGGTGATTCAGTCCTATAAAGGAAGCTTAAACTCTTTTTCAGTTTTATTCCTAAAAGATGTCTGCTGTAGAAAGCAGAGAGTCACTTCTCACATCTGTAGTAGGTCAAGTCCATGGTCAATTAACAATTTAAAAAACGATTAACATGTGTTCTGTCTTCTTCTCATTTAGACTATTAGTACTTCTTATCAGAAGATTATGCTAATGGAGTGATAATACCTTGGAAATGAGGCCAAGTGGTTACAATGGCAACAGAGTGTGAGTTGGTGGGAGGTGCCACATAGCCCTAAGCTTCTTTGAATTCAGGGTAAGCTTGGAAGTTGACCTGAAATGTCTAGATCTTGGCAGTTCTCAGAGACTTGGCTCCTCCTCTGCACATCTGATTTTTATTAAGAATTTCCAAAAGGAATCTGCATTGTGTAAACTCCAGATCCATTTTATCTTCAAAATCCTATGGCTTTGGTAAATGTGCTGGGTAAATATTTCCGTAGAATATATTTACAAAGAGATTTTTGAAAAATGCCACAGTAGGAAATTTTGATTTGGAAATGAGGGACTGGGAAAATTTGCTAATCATGTTCCCAAACTAATTCAGGCAAATAAACATGTCCATTGAAAAATAAATTCTTTGTCTCGTTGGAACCCAGGCATGGCTGAGGCGAGCATAGCACAGAGCTGGCCAAGTTTCATGATAGTGCACCGAAGGGGCTTCAGAGACAGTTGCTGTCCCCTCTTAGGTAATTGCTGGTCTTGACAGGGGGCCCATAGGAGTAAGAGCTACAGTAACTCAGAAGGAAGCAGCTAAAATGCAGTAGAAGTGAAGGTAAAGTTGGTAACTCAGTTGCTGTCTGAGCCCTTCGGGCCTTTCTTTCTCTGTATTCCTGGTGCGCAGCCCCACACTTAGGCTGCTTAGACCCTAGCACCAAAGCAGAGCTGGAGTCTTGCTGAGCAGTGCCACTCTGGGGACGGGACAGGAGGAAGGAAGGTGTAGGAGGCAGCCCCCACGTAATTCCTGTTTTAAACATTACTGCGTTCAGTGGACTCAAGATGGCATGCCTCTTCCCCATTGCTCACTTGGACATGTCCATTGTTTGTGCAGGCTGTCCTGCGATTTAAAAGATTGCCCTTATTGGGCTCCTGTAGGCAGCAAGACATGGTGGCAAGGGCACAGGCTCTGCAGTAAAAGAAAGATCTGGGTGTGTATCCAGTTCTGCCTTAACGTTGCCAAGCCTCAGTTTTTTCCTCTGCAAATTAGGGATTTATACCTAATTCCCTTGACTCTTATAAATGAGCTAACTTGTAGGAAAATACCGAGCATAGGGCTTGGCACTCAGTAAATGGTGGTCATCGCTGTTATGTTTGTTATAAAGACAGGCTTGTGTGGAACGGAGGAAAATAATCAGTGGGGCTTTCTAAAATCCCTCACTTTTTATTGTCCTTATTTATAAGATGAAGGTGTTAGATTTTGTCACAATCTGGGTTGCACTTGTGTCTAACATGGTCAGGGGAAATAAAGTATTGCAAATACCCTTGTGATGCTCACAGTTCTTAAATAAGGCGTCAGGCGGAGCTGGTCTTTGGGCTATGGGCGATCCCAGCCTGTCTGCTGTTCCAGAATCCCGTTCTCTTCCAGTTAGGAAGGCTCATTAGGATGCACGTGAGTAAGAGTGCTGATGTCATAGGGATGGCTTCCACTCTCTGTGCTGCTTTGTAGAAGAAGCAAATCATTCACACAGGCAGTGCTTTAAATTTCAGCCACGACAGATTATTAGCCATAAAGCTCACAGCTTCTCACACGCCATGTGCAAAGCTGTCTTTAGCACATATGGCACTTAGGCGCATATTAGAAAAAGGCTCTCCTTACTTCAGAAAAACAGTTACATCTCAGCACATACAATACAGCAGATAGAAAGCCATTCTGTATAAATTATACAACTTTTACTACTGAACACAAAATAATAGTGTTTGTGAAGTCCTAAATATTAACCTTTTCTGAGATAATAATTTATTTAAAAGTATGTCTTACTTTCATAAAAATATACATGCATATATTTTATTTATTTATTTATTTATTTATTTATTTATTTATTTATTTATTGGAGACAGAGTCTTGCTCTGACGCCAGGCTGGAGAGTGCAGTAGCCTGATCTCGGCTCACTGCAACCTCTGTCTCTCGGGTTCAAGTGATTCTCCTGCTTCAGACTACCATGTATCTGGGACTACAGGCACGCGCCAACACACCCAGCTCATTTTTATAGTTTTAGTAGAGATGGAGTTTCACCGTGTTAGCCAGGATGGTCTTGATCTCTTGACCTCGTGATCTACCCGCCTCGGCCTCCCAAAGTGCTGGGAGGCATAAGCCTGTGCACCTGGCCAAAACTATATTCTTTATGATAGTTTCAGTCTTCTTGCTTCCATGTCTCATTTTCTTTATAAATGGTCACTATAGTCGAGTCTTTCTTGTGATGTAGTAGACCTTTCTCTTAGAATGTTTAACTTTTTCGAATACTTTGTAACAAGCCACAAAATTTTAACAGCATTTAATCTTTGCACCAACAAAACCTCCATTAAAAACAAAAGCAGTATATGGTAATATTTTACTTTATTATTGATTATAAATGAATATTAATAATTACATAGTGATTCATGTCATCATGAAAGACATTTAAATAGGGAATTGGCAATAGCATGATGATGGAAGGCTTGTAAAATGTAGCCAGTAAACTAATCTGATAGAGATATTTTTCAATTTAAAAAGTATTGTGTATCAGATAGAAAATGGGCTGCCTATTTAGAAGCCCAGTTCATGTTAGACGTTGTTGGATTGATAAAGTATTTCAATTATCAAGCTGGGTCCTCCTTTGTAAGTCTTAGGGGAATGAGTATGTCAGCTCTGTAAGCAAGACACTGTTTCAGCTTTACTGAAAGTAGTTGAAATGAGCTGAGTTGGGAACAGTAAGGACGTTTCAGTCATGTGCTAGAAACTTTTGTTGTCACGTACATGGAAAGCAGGGGTGTCCAATCTTTCAGCTTCCCAGGATCACATTAAAAGAATAGTTTTGGGCTTTTGGGCCACACATAAAATAAACGAACACTAACGATAGCTGATGAGCCTAAAAATAAAAATAGCCAAAAAATTTCATGTTTTAAGAAAGTTTACGAATGTGTGTTGAGTCGTATTCAAAGTCATCCTGGGCCGCATATGGCCTGCGGGCTGCGGGTTGCACAAGTTTGATATAAACTGCCCATCTTTAGAGTCAACAAACATGAAAAAAACCCACCTCGAAATAGTGAAGACATTGACGTTTTAGGTGTGGTACCCCTTCATGTTATGCCCCTCAAGCCTGGATCAGACAGCTCGTATCGCAGCTCTCAAGCCAAGAACCACTGGGTTAGACACCTTGAGCTGGTGTCCTTTCTAAAGCTCCAGCATTTGGTAAAATTGTCTTTTGACTATTTCACCTCAGGACCCTTCAGGGTGCACAGTTGTTTCTCCTTTATGATAGCATCACTGCTGCCGTCAGCTCAACGTTAGTCCTTGGCTGGGGCTCTGGGCCCTTCATCTGCTGGCTTCTCATTCCCTCTTGCACCCTGACATGCATGCCTCTCCAACACATTGCTCATTTTCCCCAGCAAGATTTTTTTCCTTTTTGAGGTCATTTATTTATTATACAAGTAACTTGTTTTAGAAATTCTAGGCCAGGTATGGTGGCTCACTCCTATAATCCTAGCACTTCGGGAGGCCGAGGCAGGTGGATTACTTGAGCCTAGGAGTTCGAGACCAGCCTGGGCAACATGGCAAGACCCCATCTCTACAAAAACTACAAAAATTAGCTGGGCGTGGTGGCTCAGCCTTCAGTCCCACCTACTTGTGAGGATTGCTCTAGCCTGGGAGGTTGAGACTACAGTGAGCCATGATCATACCACTGTACTCTGGACTGGGCAATAAGAGTGAGACCTTTCTCAGAAACAAAACGAAACAAAAATCTAGATGCACATAAAGGAAGAAATGAAAATCACCACAGTCTCACTACTCAGAGAACTCATAGCTAACAGTCATTACATTTCCACCTGGACTTTATTTCCAGGGTACTGTATAAGTGTAGTGTATAATTCTGACATAAATGCCATTCTTCT